AAGTCCAGACACAGCTGCTCCAGTGGGATGTGCTCCGGGAGGAAACAGGGAAGGTGTCCCTGCAGCAGCAGCTGTCCCCTCCTGGGGTCAGCCCAAGGCAGCACCTCCCAGTGCAACCAACATGGGCAGAAAAATGGGTCCACAGTGGAACAAGGTCAGTGGGAAAGCACCAGGGAACAGCCCACAGATCCCTGTCTGTGTCTCCTCTGAGGTGCTGCCCCCAGTGCCCATCCCTGGCAGGGGACTGACGAGACCCTGCTGGACTCAGCCCCCCTCCAGGCAGTGCCAGGCCCTGGCTCCGGGCTGAGGCTCCTGCTGAGTCCGTGGAACAACCGATGCCACCTCCAAATGCAGGGGTGGCAGGGTGGCCAAGCTGAGGAGATCTCTGAGACCTTGTTCAGTGGATTGTACCCAGCCAGGGACAGTTTTTGTTCCTAAAGTCCTGGCTGCCAGAACAGGGTCTGATCCTGCATCCATTCTGTCATGGCTCGGGCACTGATTTCCTGGGGCACGGCATCGGGAGAACAGGATACAGCTGGAGGAGAGCCAAGAGGACAGACCAATTTTTAAAAGGCCAGGTCTGTCCAGCAGCAGCTGCATTCCTTGGGCACACAAGCAACCTCTACACACCCGCTCAGGCAGTGGCATCAGAGACACTGCTCACACCAGCCTTGCTGGGGCTCAGACTGCCCTGGTCACACTGGGAGTGTAACGGTGGCTTCCATGAGGCAGAGGGCCCTGGGCATCCCCACGTGAGGCAGAGGGCTCTGGCAGAGGCCCCTGTGCATCATCATGGCCCAGCTCTGTGCACATCCTCACCCATGTGCCAGATGCTGCCTCAGGGCTAAGCTGTCTTCGTGGGTCAGGATATTGTTACTGTGGTACCTCAATGCCAAGCTGTGCCCTCCCAGCAGAGCTAATGTTTGCCTGGAGAGCTGCAGCCTCTCCTGGGTGAGACAGACTCCTTCCTCTTCCCCCTTTTCCAGAGGAACTTTAGGGGTGTTCAGACACAGAACCCAGGATCTGGCTGTAACGTACTGCAAGAACAGATTCCGATGTTGTCCCTACAGCCTTCCCATGAATCAGGACATGGGTTTCTGGAGAACCAGGCAGACAGGCTTCTCTGAGCAGCTTCAATCCCATTAAAATAACCTGTTCCAATGCCATGCTGCTTCCCACGCTCCACAGCATTAAACCCTCAGGCACCACATCCAGCGACAGCACAGAAACCTGTCCAGAACGGGTCTGCCACGCTGGGGGACAGGGAGTTCCCTGAGGGGACAAGCCAGTTCCCACACACAGCACTGCGGGGACCTGCAGGGACAATGATGGTGGTGGCACCTTCCCTGGGTCCCCCATACAATTCCATTCTTGGGGAAAAGCCCACCCAGTCCCTACACATACCTTTATCATGTCATCCTTCAGGATAAAGTACTCGCACCGCCTGGGGAGACTGAGTACTGACAGGCACATCCCAGGCACACTGCAGAGCTTCACACAGGACAGAAATCAAGTGTAGAACCACATACACAACATTTGCATGAGAACTCAGAGCTCCTCCAGCTTCAAAGGACAATTTTCACCATGACAGTACTCAGATATTAATGAGAAAAGCCTCAACCTGACATTTCTGCAATTCCATTTGATATTTAATTGGCAGAGCAGATCAAAGAACAGGGGAAATAAATGGGTTTGCATTACCACACACGACAGAGTTCAGTGAGCAGGAGAGATTAAAAAAACCACAGAAAGAAACTGCTGTAAAGCAGCTGTTCTTACAGTCACAACTTCTGGCATCCCTTGTGGCCTCGAGCGTGTGGCCTGAGCAAGGCTTCTCCGTCACACCAGTGCTGGCCACGCTGGCCTGGGGCTGCTGCTGGGCCCACATCAGGCCCTGGCCCCGGCCAGCCTGAGGGGACAGGCACCAGCCTGAGGGGATGGACACCTCCCAGTCCTTCTCCCTCCCTGACCAGGGCCAGGCCACGGTGGCCTCAGTACTGCCAGTGCAACATATAGGACTGCCAGCAACTCTCTGTACTCCTGGCATGAAAAAGAAGGGATGTAGCCAACTTTACAACAAAAATAACTCACATTTCTAGCTCAAAGTAACTTAGTTTCTATCACTGGTTTTCACGCCCAAGATTGTTACAAAGGAACAATATTATTCTCTGCTTTAGTGAGTTTAATTTCTCACTTGGTACAACCTTATACTTTGTCCCTTACGGTGTCCCACATGTAGTTGAGACTGTATTCAACTGTTGGGGGGGGTCAGCCAGCAAGAGAAAATACCCCACTCAAAGGCAGCGCTGGTGGGGCTGTAACTGCAGAAGGACCCTCACCAGGATGTGGGGGATGCAGAACCCTGGGAGAGCTTCACCCCTGGATTTTATTTGTTCCACCCATCAGTCGGGGTGGGGGAGGGTGGAACCAGTTTCTCTTAATCCACGGAAGGCCAAAGGAGTTAAAGCCCCCAGAGTGCCTCCCTCATTCGGTAACAGCCCTCCACCACCACCTGCCCTGCACAGGAACAGAGCACACGGAGCCTCTGCCCCACACGGACACAACAGGCAGAGCTTCCCAGGGATGGCTCCCAGTGCTGGCCCCTGGACAACTGCGCCAGGCACAGCACGAGTAAGAGGCAGGGAAGCCCTGGTGCCTGGGAAAGCACTTACCCACGGCCCAGCCACGGGTCAGCCTGGGATGGGGACAGGAAGGGAAGTGCAGCTTTTCATCAGAAATGTTCAGGAAGCTGAAGTCAGCAGACTCCTGCAGAGCAGCAGGCTCTAAAGCTGATGAATTTCTGCACCAGGTCCAGGTGCCACCACTGAGGGTCCTGCTGCTCTTGTCTCCCCACCTGGGAGCTCAGAGGAGGCAGTTTCAGCTCGATGATGGCAGGAGAAATGCTCTGGAGCTGTGCCAATGGATGGGACTCATTGGCAGGGACAATCCCTGGAGATCTTCATGTCATGGCACATCCCATGTAAGGGGTAAGGGGGGACTCACCTCTCCTGTCCCAGATAGTGGGTGGGCACCCACAAGCAGGGTCCCCCTGCCTTTATTAAGGTCCCCTGAGCCCTTATTTGTCTCCTGGAGAAAGCGCCGGGTGCCGGCACCATATGTATGGGAGTCACTTGGGGAAGGGGATTAAACAACACAGATCAACAGGAATTCTGCTCTGAGGAAGGGCCTGTGTCACTGCAAGCCTCGAGACTGCTGGGCATAAACACCAGGAGACAGGTCTGGAGCACAGCCGTGGCTGTCCCAAGCTGCAGCCCCAGCGCGTCCCAGACGGGTCCTGCTGGCAGTGACTCACTGCCCAGCACTGCAGCCAGGCAAACTGGGGAATGGGAGCACGTGCATTTGGGAAACAAACAATCCATTAAACACCACAGCACCCACCAGCCACACACACACCCTGGACGCTTTTAATACTCCGTGTTTATAATTCCATGCTACTTGAATGACTTGTTTAAAACATTTCCATTTGAGTTCACATATTAATTAGCTACAAATGGGATTATGGCAAATTAATCTACCAGTGAAAGGGCTAAAAAAAAGTCAAAACACACCCAAAAATCTCAAACAGAAGTCACTGAAATGGCCCTGACTAGACGCCGGATGCCAAGCTTGTGTTGCTGACAGTGATGCCCAGTGCGTTTGTCCTTGTCATCCTCTAGAGACCCTGCTGAACACCCCCTGTGTTTTGGTACCCAGAAGGTCGGCTGAGACAGCCTGACCTGGCTGGACACTGCCAGCAAGAGCCATGCCAGCAGCCCAGGAAGGAACAACAAACACTGAGCTCCTCACACCATGGACAGTCCAAAACCCTCGGCTCACCCAGGGGAACCCAAGGTCCTGCCAAAGTCCAAGAAGTGCCACAGTCGCTTTGTCTGTATCACCTGGCAGATGGAAAACAAAAGCCAGGTTTGAGCAGGATGTTTTGGGTGGGAAGGGACCTCTATGATCTCTGGGTGTGATCAGCTTCCTTCTACTTCTCCCCTTCCTCCTCGGCCAGTCTCCCTCGGCCGGGTCTGCTGAGCCAGCAAAACCCCTGCACATCCCTGCACACCACAAAGACCAAAAAGGGAAACAGTTTTGAGCAAAGTGATGAAGGAAAAGAAGAGCATTTCCATTAACCAACAGGTTTGTTAAAATCCCTCTCATTTCTATTTTTGGGGGTTTTTTTTTTTGCCCTGGACTGAGCAGAGATTTGTGTTTTTGTAGCTCACATTAGGTCTCACAGCCCTGTGACGTTGGCAGTTTCAGTCACACCAGCTTTTGTCTCTGCTGCTTCCAGATGGGCAAACATGGGCTATTCCAGCCATGGCCTCGATAACAAGGAAGCTCTGAATTATTCTGAACAAAAGGGCAGCAGCTAAACCTATTAACACCAACTGAAAGCAACCAGCTGGCAGGAAAACCGTGTGTGACCAGCACGGATTGTGTCTGCCTTCATTGCCCCCTTGGCTGCTCTGCTGGCCTGGGCTGGTTCTAGTGCATTTATAACAGCAGAGAATCATGGAATCACTTGGATTGGAAAAGACCTTTAAGATCATCGAGTCCCAGGAGATGTGGGAGACGACACAGGGAAGGTGTATATGAAGGTGTAGCTACAGCTCTGGGAAGGGAAAACAATTCAAAGCAGTTGGACGGGTCAGAAACGTGTTAAACACGTGGGACGTGGTGGTTTCAGGTGACACAACCTGGCTGGGTGCTCTGGTGATCTGTCAGCACTTCTGAACGGGCAACTCCCTCAAAGTCAACACTGAAATCGACCTTTCATTGGGAAAAATTCTCATCGTGATATGAACAATGACAAAACACCACCAACAAAAGAAGGGAGGGATCTGGAGGGCCCCTCTCATCCTCCCAGTGCCCCCCAGGGAAGCAGGGGGTGACGAGATGACCCGCGATGGCCCACCACGCTCCAACCACTTGGGTGACGCAAAATAACGGAGCACCCTCCGCCAACAGGGATTGCTGTCCTTAAACGAGGAGGTGCCTGGAAGAGCTCGGCCGGTGCCGCAGCTGGTGCCAGCCCAGCGGGGATGGATGGTGGGTCCGACCTGGCCCTGCGCGGGGACAGCTCCGGGTGGCC